AGTTCGTTTGACTGGACGTGAACAGGAGACGTTCAGAAATAGAATCGGGACCAGGTCTCTAATTAGTCTGGAAACGGGGGACCTAATTCTTGCATTCTGTGAAAACGGGTAAGATTGGCTATAATGTAATTATCTTAATCTTCACTATCATTACTTTTTAAAAACCCAGCGAAGCGGGTCCTTGCAGCTAGATTATAGATTACTTAGAAAAACAGTCTTTTATATATAAAAAAAACTATATTACATACAAATGTACGAACAAATAAAAACCCAGCGAAGCGGGTCCTTGCAGCTAGTACTGTAATATAATTGGTACTTGATTAGCAGTATATGTTAAAGCATAAAATCAATGATGAATATCTCCTAATTATGATACACAAGTCAATTGTAAATTTTTTGGATCTAAATGCATGGTGTCCAAACTGGCTAATGAGCTACATACAGCTCTACTAGACCCTTATTGCAGCTCATGTATATAGAACTCCTACTCATTATTACTTAAGAGTCCAACTTTACTATATATATAGTAAACCATGCAAATATAGAAAATAGGAAACACATTTCTCACATACTTCTGATATGCAGTATATAGTTCCTATCGTGACAAAGTTTGGCCATCACTGATCTATAATATATCTAATTAAAATTGCTCTTGCACCTTGCACTCACAGAGGTTTGGAATTCACATTTGAATAAAATCTATAATCTTGATAGAATGTATGTAAATTTGAGAAGAAGTTCATTATGTCAAAAACATCCACATTTTTGATAGTGTTTACACAATGTGCTAGACACTTCATTAAACTAATTTCTAAACATTCATGCATTGACAATATTATCAAGTATTAAAATATGTATATTCTATTAAATGATGACTGATGTAAAACAATAATTATAAGATTATTTATAATATAATAATCATATTAATTTTATATTGTGATCCATCAGCTTGCAAATAGAATAAATTGCTAACTGTTGACATTACAATTAACTATAAAATTTTAATTTTGTATGGAAGATTTGTAGGTATATAATATAATACTTTGTTCATAAAACTGATGCAAGATACACATTGGGACAGACTGGTTGGCTAGATCCCACATTGATCTTGTAATGTGTTAGCAGCAGAATCTGGGCTGCCTTTTGGCATTGTCCAGGCTACAGGACAAGAACCTGGCCAACATTGCAGCCCAAAAAAGTGAGAAGTGGCATTGTTAACAATGAACCTTCGCCACACATACCCAAGATCCAGGACTAATGCAACCAGATAACGCTTGTGGGTTTTTTTTTATCTTTATGGGTTCCCAGCAACCCAAAGGCAGTTAGTTAGTTATACCTGGCAATCATTTGTCATAAATACCACTTGGCTATCTCAAGAGAAATGCAGCACTATATGTTTCAATGCAAAGTCAATGTGGGATCCAGTCAACATATATACAATTGCCAGTCCAGCCACATACACATTTCCATTTAAGACTTATGATGATGGCACTTACAGGTAAAGATAGTTGGCTGTCCTATAGGATTTAGCCAGTGAGTTAAAAGAAAGAAGGGGAAAGATGATAATGGCACTGAAGAAAATTCTCATCTATTACAAGGAAATTATCGTAGGGTCACAAAGAATAAATCACCTTCTTATTTCACAATAATAATAAATGCAAAAGTGTATCTTCATAAGAGAAACCTGTTTTAAAATTATAATTCATTATTTTGCTTTAAGAAAATTATTTATTCATATAATTCATAAAATGTCTTCAAATAAATACGAACCTAAGAATATGCCATCCGTTTTTAAATATGTATTATGAATTTAATTTAAATTAAAATAGTAGACACCATTCGAAATAATCTCAATCAGCGCTTCACCAGGTGGAAGCTACCGGATCGAGATTAAACTCATCGTCATTATAGAAAATTACATATAATAAAAATTAAAAACAAATTATTTTATACTTTTATTAATGTTTTATTACACTAAATAAGTAATAACTTTCATTATTTTAATTTCTACTAGTTAAAATTTTATTTGAGAAAAAAATATATATTTAGAAAAATCGTAAATTAATTTATTTACACTGATACAAGTATTTTATATATTTTATTTATAATTTTAAAAATTAAATTATTATTTAGTGATAGTTACTTAATTCTGTTAAAAATAAAATGTTTTCTAACGTCGCGATTAGCCACGAAATGATTGGTCAATAAGAATACAGTAGAGCGTCGTTTATCCGAATCAATTGGGGACTGGGGTGGTTCGGATAACTTATTTTTCGGATAACGAATCATGTACGAAAAAATATATTAATTTATCCCATGTTGAAATTTCTCTCCGTTGCGTGTCGCTTCGCGTTGAATTTTCGTCGATGTTAAGCCTAACGAAGACTATTGTATCGTTAAAAATTATTTTTTTATTTTGTACAAACAAAATAAAATTATTGAAAAATATAAAAACAATAAAAAATTATACTTCAGATGTTAATTTAGTATCAAAAACGTAAAATATTTGAGTAGCCCGAGAAATAGCCGAAGATTGCAGCGCCACAGCACTAGCGAAAATTTAAATTTACCGACTGGAATGCTTTCGGATAAACGACGCTCTACTGTATTTATTTTTTTAAAGTTGCATACACATTTTTATACTTTTATTAATGGAACAAGTAATATTATCTAAGGAAATAATTATAAGAGATAATAAATTATTTAAATTAATTAATATATGATGATAAAAATAATAATAATAATAATCAATTTTTAAAACAGTCGCGCATGATACGACATTTGAAAATAAACTGCATATTAATAATTAATTGATTTATTTTATTAATATACAATTTAAATAGCTATGTTTAAAATTTAATAAAATATATTTCAAATTATGAATTCTATTATCAATTGTAATCAATGAATTTTAAATCGAACAAATAACGAAAATTTTAAACATTACTCTTCTATAATTACAGTAATAATAATAGTACATTATTTTATTAAAAAATATGTTTTTTATGAGATTAAAAAAATCATTTAGTTTCATCATTTGCGAAACTAAACGATTGGCCATCGTAAAATAGCAGGAAATACAACTTGTGGCGTCAACCAATCATATGATAATAATCTTTTACGTCACAGGCCAACAGGATAAGGTTTACTTAAAGAGAAACGAGGGAAGAATTACATTTGGTTGTAAATGTGTATTGACAGTGAATTTTGCAGGAGATAAACGTAAGATACTCTTATACAAATAAAGATTATTTTTTTTTCGAATAACTATAATAATCCAGAAGTTAAATACGGCGATAGTTTTTAAAAAGTTAGTTTGTATGAAGGGGAGTGGTATCTAGCACGTGATGTTATCCATTTCATATATTTTCTATCGCAATTCAAATTATAACGAGTGAATTAGTAAGTCTCATAGGTCAGTTCTCTATCGTAGATAAACTTTAATAGTACACGTGTTTTTTTTACACGTACAGTAATAGATGAGCTGAATATAGCTTTGGCTAGACTTGAAGACATCAGCCCATCTCGGTTATTTTCTGAAATAATTTTTTAAAATAAAAAAAAAAACAATTGTTGAAGATCAGATACGCGGGATTATTCGTGTATTTTAATAATTAATAAGCAGATGTTACAAGAAACTTGTAATAATATCAATTATAGCCTAGCATGGATTTGAATATAAAGAATATGAATAGGAGAGAACTAAAAGCAACATGTTTTTTTTTCTCCAGGGGAAAAATAACAGTANTAGATGAGCTGAATATAGCTTTGGCTAGACTTGAAGACATCAGCCCATCTCGGTTATTTTCTGAAATAATTTTTTAAAATAAAAAAAAAAACAATTGTTGAAGATCAGATACGCGGGATTATTCGTGTATTTTAATAATTAATTTGATTTAATGTAGTGTTTTCAGATAAGCTGTGTATAGCCAAAGGAAACCGGTAATTCAACAGGAAAGATAATCAGTTTTTAATTATAATTACATGTTACCATTAATATTTAAAACAATTTTCTAATGTATTGCTATTGTCAGTAAATAACGATAAATCAGCAACTGATTTTGTATAAAGTAACATATTTTAACGGAATATTAAGTAACTTATTCTTAAGTATATCTTAAGTTATTTACATTTATTAAATGTAAAATATATCTGGATTTAGAAGAAAAATTGCAAGAATTTAGAGTTATGTTGTTATTATTTAAATGTATTTATGAAATTCTAATATGAAATTTCATAATATTGCTTACATTTTATAAAGAAATATAGAATTTTTTAAAAATGTGAAGTAGTATGGAATAAATTTTTCTGATCAAAATAAGTTTTCTTGACCTTGCAATGTAGTTGTCAAAAAAGTGAAAAATGAAATTATAATTAGTGAAAGTAGTTCAACTTTCTTTCTGCTGAATATCAAATTTTGTAAGATTATCATTTAGTAAATATGTTTTTTTTTTTTTTTTTTTCAATGAACATAGTTATTGAATTTTTTAAAATTGAATTCCAAATGATAGATAACAGATTGAAAATTTGTTTTACACATTTTAAAATATATGAAGTAAACTGTATTTATAAAAATAAATTTATATAGTGTAATGTATATAAAGAATTGTAAAGTATTACTTTAAAAAATATGTGATTTTTATTTAGTTAGTAGTATTGTTGATTTTATTATGATGATTTTAAATATGTTACTTGAGTCTGTTAGAGGCTATTCGGGAAGAAATTAACAAAAATGAATTAGATAAAAGATTCATTTGGAGTGATAAAAATATTGATGCAGACCAGCATCTTCTAAACTCCTAAACTACTGGTATGGTTTTCCTGCAATTTATTTTGTGACAGTTTGTTCTTATCTCTAAACATATGTATAGCTATTTGCCACCAAAATAAATTTTATAGTTTATATGTCTTATTATAATCTACATTTTTACCATCTGATTTAGACTAAAATTTTGTCAGTTCTGAAATTTTATTTCAGATAAGGGATTGAAACTTAAAAGTTCATTTTTTAAATGTCATAATGTTAATTTACATATTTAATGTAAATAAAAATACAGTGGTGCCTCGTATAACGTACGCCTCGAATAACGGACGCTGCGAATAACGGACTTTCTGTTTGACCGTTACGTGACTCGAGCAACGGACTTGCTGCGAACAACGGACTTTTTGTTTGGCAGTTACGTGAGACGAACAATGGACTTTTTTCGAACAAGTGCGAATGATGTTATGATGTTTCCACTCTTTTGCAGTTGCCAATGACAATCTGCTATTTTTAGGATATATTAGTATTATTAGAATGTATTATTAGTATATCTGAAGTAGAAATGTAATGTAATATATGTTGATGATTTAAATATTAAATGTAATGTAATATATGTTGATAATTTAAATAAACATTAAATGTAATGTAATATATGTTGACGATTCAAATAAACGAAATGTAATTGTGTAGGTGCCGAGGTGGCGGGACGAAAAGGGGTTGTAAAAAACAAACGGAGCGAGAGTAGCTTGTAGAAGTGTTTAGTGATCTTAATTAAGAAAGAATTATTTGTATCATATAATCTGGCAAGTTAAGTCATTTATAATGCATCATGGCTTCTAAAAAAAACAGAAAGGTGATTTCAATTGAAATAAAGCAAGAAATCATCAGGAGTGAAAGTTGACAAAAACTTTCTTGTCGAATGGGGAGAGGTTCAGGAGTTTACCAACACTCATTATCCAAATAGAGCTGAGGCCAACAGGATCAATGATCTCTATGATGACACCTTTGTCCATCATTTCCGACAGGTGTTAAAGAAGAAAGAGAAACAGACCACCTTGGTCATGTTTCTCAAGAAGCCAGCGGGCAAAAAACAAAGGATGGAACAAGAGAAGTTGACCCTGCAAGTTCCGGTAGCCTCTCCTGAATCTGACTCAGATTAAAAAAACAATAAAAAAAAAAAAAAGACCTGCTGCAATGTGTAAAAAGTCTGTATCTGTATGAATGTGTAAAGAAAGTGTTCTTCCACCTCCTCTTCACAACATCTGACTACCCAGCATAATTGGGTGCGGAATGAATTATATGTTTTAACATGCATTTCTATGGGAAAATGCATTTTGTATAACGGACGTTTCACTTAATGGATGTGCACCTGGAATGGATTAAGTACGTTGTACGAGGCACCACTGTATATACTAGCTATATAGCATCTAAAAATATTTATTTCATGAATATTTATTATTTCTATTGTATATATAGTCTTCATTACAGAAACAATTCTTTAAAATTATAAAGTATTTTCGATGTAATCTTATGGATATTCTTACCTGACTGTATCTATTCAGTTATTAAATTATCATATCTGTTTGTGATGGATAAGTTACATTTTTATTTTTTAACATCAAAATTTTAGTTTTAAGGCAACTTTTATCTTTTATAAATGTATTGATTCTATTCCTTAAGTTTACATTCAAACAGATAAATATAGAGTTTCTAGGAGCCTGAAATAGCTTGATTAGTATTTTCGGGATTCAACCACTGCATCTTCAAATCACTTCAGAATAAAACAAGCTTTTAATATTCCTAAATTTTAAAAACAAAAAGTTATTTTAAACACACACTATGATTTTATTTGCAAGTATTTTTGATGAAAATGTGAATTTGTTGTCATCATGCGAAGGAACAAATGGAAGAACAAAAGTTTTTTAAAACGCAAAAATGTGTGTTTTTAAATTAGAGTTTGAGTAGAAAAATATGTTTTTAAAGCAAAAGGAACAAAGTGTTTTGTTCAAAAATATTTTTTTTTTCTTCATTATATTTCAAACCATAAAGTATCCCTCTTACACCAGGTAACAATCCCATCAATTCCAGAATCTGTCATTCATCAGAGCCCCTCATACAAATTTCTATATACAGG